GAGGCGGTGGGCAGGCCGCTGGTGTAGGTGGTGGTGGTGGTCACGGCAGGCTGGCTGACGTACTCCTTCTTGTAGGTGGTGATGGTGGGCTGGCTGACGGCGCTCCTAACACCGTATCCGGAGGTGCTGCTCAGGCTAGCGAGGGAAGGCTGCTTCTGGATGAAGGCGCTGTGCTCGTAGCCACCAGAGTAGGCGGTCACAGCAGGAACCTCAACCTTCTGGGCACCTTCGATTTTCTCGACCTTTTCGATCTGTTGGACCTGCTGGACTCCGCTTGTCAGGAGCGCGGGCTCCTCTACCTTCTCGGCCGTCTTGTAGTAGATGGATGAGGCGGGCTGGCTCACGAAGGTGGTCTGCTGGAACGCAGGAACCTGGGCAGAAAATCGAGAATGAAGTAAGTTGTCTTCCAGTGAATTCTATTTCAATGACTCTGATGTTGGGTCTTACCTGCTTCTCAACGCTCTTGATGAGCAGAGAGGCGGGCTGCTGGTGCTGGTACTGGTTCGCGTTGTACTGCTGCTGGTACTGGTTCGTGTTGTACTGAGACACTGCGGGGCCGGCAGCACTGTATGTGGTGATACCGGGTCCGGTGATCTGCATCAAATGTGTCAAATTCAAAACTAGCCCCAAGTCCATGTGGTCTTAAAGGAAGGAGAGAATGAACGCGAAGAAATGGATACTGTACCTTGTACTCCTTGACGTCCACGGTGGTGGTGATCTTTTGGTCGCTGCCGTAGGCCTTTTCCTCCACAATGGGCTTGAGGGAGCGGAGCTCGCCGAAGTGGAACGGTCCCTTGCTGTCATCGAAGTGCTCGGGGGTCTCGAAGGCGTGGGGGAGGGCATGCACCCTGGTGTTCTGCTCCTTGATTTCGCGGGGCACATCGGCCACCGCCGCCGCGGCCAGGCACACAACTAACACCAAAACTTTCATGACTGGAGAACTGACTGTTCCTTGAGCCGATCAGAGTCAGACTGACTTGCCATCCGCCATGGCCGAATTTATATACCCTGGGTGAGCAATGCAGAGGGCAGAATACAGAGGTAAACGGACACGAGGAGAAAGAGGGGAATGGAACAGGCGACCGAGGAGAGGTGTGCGAAAGCGAGAGAGTAGCGCAAACCGAGCTGGCGGGAGAGGGAGAGGGGAAGTGTCGGCAACCAGAGGAATCATCCTCACATAATCGCTGTCTCCTCTTCTTTCCCTTTTTGGCGTCGAATGTGGATGGTCGTGTTGGTTGGCCTCTTGATAAACGAATAACAAAGTCTGTTACCTTGCAGGTAACTCGACCCCCCTGGACGGGACAATGCCGGAAGTACGACCCGACGGGGAAGCCGTGCTGCAGTTAAGCAGAGGCCGTCAGAAAAAGACAGAAAAAGTGCAATGTGCACCACATGAGTGGAGAGGCCAGTGCTCTACCAACACCCACATAAATAGCAATTATAATTAATCGAAACTCATAACCATATTCTTGGGAATGTATTTCACACTAAATCTTAAATTGGGCCAATGGCTAGATTTTTTGTGTGCCTTTCCGAATGTTGCACCCCAGTTTGTACAAAACGGCTTATGAAGTACAGTGCGCCAAAACGTCCTCGATGTGAAGAAGAATCGCCGAGGTGGTCTGGACACCCATTAGGAAAACAAAAGTGAAATGGCAAAATGAACATATCCCGCGCCCCGCGGCCATCATGACGGGCATTATGGAGGAAAGTAAATAGTAAATATAAATGTCCAGGTAAATGTGAAAGACTGTTGGTAAATGAAATGTGTAAAAATTAGAAAATAAAGAGAGCCGAATACACAGCGGGATAAATAAAAGGGACAGTCTGCACCGGCGGTACTTCCCTCAGTCACCAGGGGGATCCGGGGATCCTATTGGGTTGCAAACAAGGGGATCTCTCATATGTGTTGGTGACGCACAGCCTTTTTTTCCTTTGATATGCGTCTGTTTTGTTTTTGTTTCTAGCCTGCCAGCGTCAGCTAGAGGGGCCTAGGGTGTCCATTATTAGGCGTGACAGCCGGCCGGCCGGCACGGGCGGGGAGGCCCGGCCCCGGGGGACCGCGCCGGGGGTCGGCGCGGTCAGGAGGATGGTCAGGACCGAGATGGGCCCGGCCCCCGGCCCGTCGCCCGGCACCAAACACTCCTTAGTGCTGCCGCCGGACTTTTGTCGGACGAACTCGTTCCAGAGAATTGGCCCGCCAAGCGCCAAGCTCCACCCCACCCCGCTACTGCCCCACCCCGCGGTAGAGGTCGTGACCGGCCTGCGACGGACGCGCACTGCCAAATTCTGACACGCACGCCTCACTCCTCCTGGGCCCCTCCTCTCGCCGCGTTCGCTAAATCTTTCGGCGGGGCACTCCTCGAGAGGATCTGCCGCCGGCGCACCTCATGCACGCGTGCGGTCCAGTGTCCATTCCATACTCGCACTCGAGCAGTGAGGCGCCAACTCCCAGCACGCGTGCGGTACAGCATCTCTACTAACGGCGGCGGGGGGAGGGGGGAGGTAAAATAATCCACCAAAAGCGCAAGCGTGCGTGCCGGGCGGGTTTGGGTCTCGTCCCCAGTGAGTGGGAAGAGATCGTCTAGAAAGTAAGTACGTGTACGTTTTACTCAGATTCATTCGGCAAAATACGGGAGCTCGGCGCCTGCGAGACTCGGGGTAGGCCATCCCGCAGTACTCGCGCGCACTGCAGGCACGGTGTTGCCTACCTACCAGGCGCTTTGAGAGCTTGCATGTGCGAAACTTCAGGTGCCTAATAGGGAATGGCGGTCTTTCTTTATGAATAATCCCTAAGCAGCCCGCATCCACACGGCAGTGCGGCACCGCCTAACTTCAGTAGTAGCTGGGGCTGGGGCCAATCAGCAACCTGGAAGATTCTCCTCAATATTTCACGAGAAAAATCTTTTCAGATTTTCAATCACGTTTTTCGTCACTCGAAATGTTTTGGACTACTCGCCCGGGGACTGGCCCCTCCTCTATACTCGCTCTAAGAATCACCTGCAGGTGGCTCTCAGAGAGCCCCCTACCAATCCCCTCTGGTTGCCACACTGCAGTGCAGAGCGCCCGCCCCGCTGTGTGCCGGAGCTGAGGCACCTGAGGAGCTGCTCCTGGAACATCCACCCCAACACCCTTTTCAGACTGGTTCATGAGGCGCTCTCGAGGAGCTTCCCAACTGCCCGGGAAGCCATCTCATAGGTGTTCTAGGGAATGCCTTCGCTGATCCTGTCGGTATCTCCGCGGGTCCCGCGGCTGCCGTCGAAACTCTGGCCGCGTTCGAAATCGGAGATACCTGCGGGACTATAGTTGTCGATGCTGATGGGAGTGGGTCCCGGACGCCTCGACGCGGACGCAGCCCCGGACTGGGACCGGAGACGAGCCCGGGAGCGGCGCCGACCCGACCCGACCTTGGCCTTTCTGATGTCATGTCACGTACACTGAAGGCGAGGTTGACCCATCCAATTGTCAACCTACAAGTCTACAAAAACAGACACCAAAATACACAAATTCCATGAGAGTAAATGGCGAGGTAGAGATCAAACCATTCGTGTCTAGGGAGGGACTACCTCTCCATGGCTGAATAGTTCCACCTTTTCTTTTCCTTGCTTTTTTTGGGGGGGTCCCATTGGGCCCGCTGAAACATCAGCGGAGGTCGTTGACGTTGACATCGCTACAGGGCTTAAAATAGGTTTTCGCCCCTCTCTCTACTCTACCTGTTGGTAGATGTGCTTTCTGATATACAGGAAAACATTTTAACTATGTGAAAAGCAGGACAGAATCGCAAAAACAAGTCACAATTTCTTTAATTATTCAACATTTGTCTAAGTTAACACATCATTCCATATACATCAAGGATGAAAACTACAACGGGTACTTTAGGAAATGGATAAATAATTTGAGTTATGGAATACACAAGAAAATTATAGTAACAAATGTGTAAATTTCCTGACTCTTAATTGGAACAGCATTCAAACAAAATTCAACAACACATCATTCCCAAATATTAAATCAAGAATTGACTAGCGACCTATCTGACCAGGCAGTTAACGCATACATATGACAAACATAAATTATGTCTCTACTAACACTTACGTTGGTAAAATTTCAGAAAAAATCTAAAGGCAGCAACTAAAACAAGAAATTACCGGAGATTGCCGTTTAACATTGCAGAGGCATATTTGGCACCAAGAGCAGGAAAAGATATAATGGCTATATAAAAATAAGGGAATTTTCAACCAGTGCCCAAAGGTATTTCATGATATTCACATAACTTGTCCAATCAAAATTGCAATGCACAACATTCATCACACATTAAATAAAACAAACCAATCTTTTTTGAAAAGTTATAGACCCAAAATGAAGAGCTCTATAGCTCTACTCATATTCTTAACAATAAATAACCGCATGATGCTTACAAGAAAAAAAAAACTTTAAGTATAATACGAATAATACTGACACATCATATACAAAGGCAGGAGGAAAGTGATTACGTTTGTTACATTGGAAGTAAGGAAACAATCACTACTAATTACTTGTTTGAACTTTAATACCAAAAATAAGAGGAGATCAAAATAGAAAAGATTGTCATATTTTTGACTTTTGTCTAAATTTGCTTCCATAAAAATAACAGATCATCATACTTAACAGCATAACACTACAACCAGTAATCATTACATCACACTAAGTACAACATTGAATTATCTTGTTTTGAGCACAGCAGTAAAAGGGAGAGATAGAAAAGAAACTGTCAAATTTTAAATACCTATTAAATGTCAAAAGTCATTCTGTGATTTTTTGATAAGAGAAGTCGTTAACAAAACTTTAACTTAAGTGCTGCATGATCCAAAAATAAATAATTCTAACTAACTTACACGTAGTGTTTCACTCACAATAATAAAATCAGTTTGCTACAAGAAAATAACATACAATATATATTTTGAGTTTAAATTTG